AATATCTCCATTGAGAAACTTTGTCTTAACTTCCGTATGATACAACTCAAAATCAAAGTGTACCACTAAAGCCATTATGGTTTTGAAAGAGTTTTTCGATGAAACTAGAGAAAAAATTTCTTTATAATCAATGTCTTCTTTATGTGTAAAACCCTTAGCGATAAAGGGGATGGTGGGCGGCGTAGTGTGCGTATGCAAGGTAGGTGCTTTGCAGGTGGTACTGAGGACCAGATGCCCGATCTGCGAGACCTGTAGGATTTTGGGCGTGAGGGGGAAAAAGGGGAATGAGGCTAAAGGCCTCTACGCACGACAGGAGGAGGTGATGCTACATAGGTGAGTGGAGGTAGGTTTAGTGGTGCATGTTGGTGCTGCGGGCACTAGGGGTGCCGGATTTGCGGGATCCATGGGCTTCTTGCACATGTGGGTGTTTGGAGGTAGCTAGTCGCATTAAGATGCGTGACTTGGTCCCGAGTTGGTATGTGTGTGTGTGTGATAGTGGAGGAAAATCAGAGGCGGCAACTTGCATCTCCTTCCACTACCACATAAGATACAAATACCAGCTCTACTTCTATACGGTGAACTAAAAGGGTTTCTTCAGAGGACTCGAATCTCCATTAACGGTAAGCACTAATGATGTGAGCATGGATATGGATCAAGTTGACAGAAAGGATATTTTAATACCAAGTGGGCCCATTACAAGAGGGAGAGCTAAAAGATTACAACAAACCTTCCAAGTTTTTATCCAAGCATAGATCCATTAAAGAAGCCCAAGAAAAGAAGACAATAAGGCCATTAACCTAAGGGTATAATAGTATATACTATTCACCCCAAGTATAAGAGAGAAATAAGCAAGAAAATGAGAAAATTCTGTAAGACATGAAAAGAAAATTCCCATGGGATTTTATTTCCTAATTATGTGGGAAATGTTCACAATTAAAGATCAACCAACAGGGAAAATTGCTCCTAAATTGCAAGCTACCTTAAAAAAGAGGAAAACTCCTTAAATACCAAATCTAGCGAAAAAAGAAAATACTTGAGAAAGAGGAAAATATCTTGGCAGATTTTTTTTCTCTAAATAAGGTACAATTAATTAAGATATTTCCTATTTAAAAAATTTTCCTCATAGGGAATCATATCTATCTTATTTTTATTATAATTTTCTTAATTTTTACTAGTTTTCTATTCTAGTCTAGATTTACTTTCCTATATAATTTCTGTCATTAATTAAGATATTATTTTTTTCCTTATTATTTGCATGACCTACACTATAAATAGGCATTCAATTCAGAGTTGTAATTCAATCAGAATTTTTAGCTTATTAATAAAATTAAGGTATTCTTGTTTTAAGTTTCCAAGCCTCTAAGAGTGAGTGAGTGAGTGAGTTTTCGACCGACTTGTTGCGTTAAGATTGGGATCATTTATTGAGGTAAGTCTCGTGGCGTCTTTTCAATTCTAGTTCTTTATTTATTTCTCAATTATCTTGGTTTTCATTCCCCTATTGAGTATGAGTTAAGTAGGGAGGGTTTACTTAGAGTTTTGAGTTTCTGATTGCTAATGTATATGCATGGTTTTGGATTTCGTTGTTGATCCCAGGTTCCGCATCAATTAGTTTCTTAGAATTGATTTTTGGTCATTGGATGTAGTAATAATTTATTGTAAATTTTTTTAGGTGGCATCGACGGGGATTGTGATTGGGGCTAAATCCTTGAATTTAGTACGATATCGCACCACAGTTGAGGTAAGAATTGTAGTACTCCTTTGATCATTTTTAATGAGTTTTCTCTATGCATGTAAAAGGTGTTATTTTAAAGAAAATATAAAACAATGTAATTTTGAATGAACGTAGATGTGTGTGCGCGTTCATGAGATTTTAAGTAAAATAAATTAATATTTTCTTGTGTATTTTCTATTACTAGATGCCCATTGCTCTGTGTAGGTATTAGGAGAAGGCAAAATCATTATAAAAGGAAGTTAGAAAATAAATAAATAATAAAATGGGGGTTTGGGAATAAAATGATGAAAATTATAAATAATTAATTAAGTAAACAATTCGATAAATAATCCTAAAAATAAGAAGT